TATATATATATATATATATATAAATTAATTATATATATCCAACTTTTATTCAAAAATGGCAGTAATAAAAGTCATGTCAAACAAAATTAAGAACTCACTAGTTTGACGAAAAATGTCAAAGTTATTGAAATCTGTTCTCGTTTAAAATCTCTCATGATGGCGCTCATAAATAATATTTTCATATTTCATATTTTAATATTTGAAAGTCCTCCTTAAGAATGACAGTTTGGCCCAATAATAATATTTGCTATTAATGTTTGTGGTGGCATGAATTTGAATTACAGAAATAGTCTCTCCAAGATAAGAGTGAGACAATATACATTTTACCATCTCTAAGATTCTGATTTAGCGAAAATCTCATGCATTGAATGGTTCTTAATTTGGGAGTCCACTTTGGTAATTAAGCACAAACTCTAAAACTTGGAAAAATAGTGATTTGAAGTTTTCTCTTAGCTATTGGTTGTTTAAATGGATTGCTTGTTTGTGCTAATATGGAAGAAACTTTCATTTGGTGGTGTACCTTTTAAAACCCAATTATAAGCTATTGCTCTTCCAACAATGGCAGATGCATCAATTTTTGACATCATCATCATCTTCTTCTTCAAACGCAGTGTGGTGTGAGCCTGAGCTGACTTTCTTTTTTTTACTTTTATTTTAAATTATTATTGTTATTATTATTTTAAAAATAAAATATATGCAAAAGCCAATTTGAAAAATTTAATAAATACACAACAATATGAAAGTATCTATAATTTTTATATTTTTCTGTATTTAATAAATTTAAAAGATTTTTTTTATAAATATTATATTTTTTAAGTGTATCCAAGTTAAGTAGATTTAAAAATTTAAAAATTACTTAAAATATTTAAAAAATTCATAAAAAATAAAAACAAATCTAATTTTATAAAAAATGAGTTAAACCAAGTAAGGTTATTGCGCTGAGGAACAAAAAATAAAAAAATAAAATGTCAGAATTTCTAATACTTTAAATTTTGTGTTTTCCTTTTTGTTTTTTTGTTTTTTTGTTTTTTTGTTTTGTTTTGTTTTGTTTTGTTTTGTTCTCATTCTTGATAAATTGCTTCAATACTGTAGCCAAATTAATAAATAAATAATGATGAAATATTTCTTTGATTTGCCATCATTGAAAATGCCAAATTGAAAGGATAAGCTAATTTGAGCAAATGAAACTTTAACTCAAAAATCAATTTTTGATGAAAATCTACAAAGTAAACCTGGGGACATTTGGTAGTCTCCAGACTTTTTTTTCTCTTTCTTCTTTCGAAAGACATGTCTCGCACAACCACTATGGTTCATTCTCACACACACACAAAATTGAACACACACACAAAAAAAAAATGACAGACAACATGTCAACATTGAAGCAAATTTAAAATCATGTATTCATTCAATGACATGGGAATATGTAATCATTTTTCATCCCTTAAAAAAAGTCAAAATTCACATCACCAGGCATAATTGGATGGGTGAATATAATGTCTACACTAAAATTCCCGAACCACCTGATAATTTTTTCCTCAAGCCACCCACGGTCAATCAAGAAGGGAATAGAAGGTTGTGCAGAATTTGTTTCGTTGGTAGCAGATAAAGGCTTTAGAATAGGGTTGAGTTTGATAAGCAAACTAGTTATTAGTTGGCTCTGTTTCCTAAAATAGAGTAGGGGTGAAATCAATTATTTTGTTAACAACAAAGAGTGTTCATTCTTGTATCAGTGAATATATTCTTGTATCAGCGAATATAAATAGAGAGTTCTGGAAGTAGAGCTTGCCATCCATCCGAAAACATACAAAAATTCAAAAATAAGAGAAAAGGAATCTCATCAAGCATTTGAGAGATCATAATTTGCTGCAAACAGTTTAGAAAAAAGAAACTTGTAATGATATGCCAGGTAACCTGAGTGGTTCAAAGCTTCACTGGGTTCAAAGACTGTAAGAATACCAAGTATATAGTGTTTCTACCAAGGAAAATAGTTACATATAAAATCATTGCAAATGCAAAAGGTCTGAGTTACTCCCATGCACCCACTAATTGATGGTCAATTCGTTTAGTATCAATCCTTGTTCTCCTATTTGTGTAGAAACTCGGGAGCATTTCTTTACAAGATAGAGCTGTTGAAGGATAATTCCATAAAGTTTTTATCAACGTCAACCCGGAAACATCAATTTCACCTCTCTTACCTGCACAAAACAGATGTATGTTTTCAGGCAGTAGCTGCATCTATATTTAATGAAGTATCAAGTGAGCATTTGCATTGAACATGACAATCTCCTAGTGGAGAATGAAGAAGAAGACTAGCATATTTGTAATTACAAACAAACATACAGGAGTTTAGCATGAAGTCCACTAGCTTTGAGTCAAAAGGGTGGCTAATAAAGATCACTTTTTCTTCTTCTTTTTTTTGTTTTTTGTTAAGTGGCCAGCAAAGTCATCTTTAAGGCAATCACAACATTATTGCATCACAAAACCTCTACTATGAAGGAAATTCTCACAATTAGACACATATTGACTGGACATTGAAATGAAATCTGAAGGGGTTTTATTCATCTCTAGAACAAACAGGCCATACTTTCTAGTCTTTAACACCTATAACTAGTAACATAGTTCAAACCAAATGCGATACAAAAGATGAGGAAATGCCAAAAAGAGCCAGGATTAAGGAGATTAGAAAATGCATATTGTAAACAATCAACCACAGGGCTACTAGTTCACAACTAGTCATCAGGTATGACCAATCTAAGAATTGCAATAATGGGTTCATGAAGCTCACTTAATGGATGAGGTATGGCTTTGCTTGTTGAAAATTTTCAAGTAAAGAACATGTCAGCGTATTTGCTCAACTAGGTGAGAAATAAAAGGGTGATGATACAAAATAGACTAGCCATGAGACTTTGATTTTTACTTTTTCCATTGACAAATAGTTTTGTGCATCAATCCAAGCTAAAACATATTAAAGTTGGTTTTCTGGAGTGGACATTTGGTTGTAGAGACTGCTTAACATGCAAAGGTTTCACTTCAACAACAAATTCATCGAGACTCAACACAAGTTCATTGAGACTCAACACAAGTTCATGCAAATATTATACACTAGGGGATAAAATGAATTTAACTATATTTGAATCAATGGTGGGTCAAGTGTTCCAACTCCCAACCACAAGGGGATAAAATGAATTTAACTATTTTTTAAATCTCCAATGCTTCATCTTTTTAAATTTTCATCAAATTTAAATTTGTTGAATTCTCAATTTGATGAGAAAAAAAAAAGACTTTTCTTTGATTTGATGAAATGATTGGAGATGATTTTTGAGCATTTTTTTTTTATCAAATTTAAATTTGATGAGAAAAAAAAAGGTGAAGGATTAGAGATGGTCTAACCTCATCATTTTAATCTCTTTGTTAATTTTTAAAGATAAATTTTGAGTTTTTATTTTTGCCAATTTAAATTGTAACTTTTTTTTTTCAATATAAATCATTTGTCTATTTTAATTCAATAAAACTAACAAAATAATAATATTTTAACTATTAAACTCAATGTACGTGTATTTTGAAATATGTAAAATATAATTTTTTTATTAAATTTTATAATTAAAAATACTACTTTTTGTTGATTTTTTTCTTCATGAAAACAGACAAAGAATTTAGATTGAAAACAAATAAAAAATTTAAGAATTTATTTTATTATAATAGTCAGGAATCTTTTTGTAATTACCTCAAATTTTATGGAAAAATTAGTCTGAGGTCCCTCCTCCATTTTTAGTAATGGAAGAGATTCACAATATTATTTTTTAATGTCTAAGGTCCCTCAATCCACACCCATCTATCACAGAGAAATTTGATACATCTCACGCTCTCTATCTCTCTCTCCCGCTGCTTTTCTCTCGTCGATCTCATCTACCAGTTCAAAACCCTAGAGAAATTCTCATTCTCCACCATCATTATTTTTCTTCCATTTTCTCTTCCTCCAAACAAGCCTTCCCCATTACCAATCCTTAAAATCTGAGCCAAAGTTGGCATATCCTTCTCCATTCTCACAATCATGTCCCTCTTCTTCACCTCATTCTCGCACTCCCCGTCCTCACCACCGCATCGACCGTCGCATTCCCTACAGCAGCCACCTCGGCCTTCACCATCTTTGACATGTTCTTGTGAAGCTCCGCGTTGAGCAAAGCGAGAGCTACCTCGGTCTCCGACTTTCTCTCTTTCAAAAGCTTCAGCTCCGTCTTCGTCTCTGTGAGCTCCAATTCAAGTCTGTTTAGGGTTTTGCTAAGGTTTTTTGCTCTTCTTCGTCTTTCTTGGGTTTTCGCGGGAGAAAAGTTCCATTGTTTGGGAGTTGAGAATGGCTTCGGAGACGAGTAGTGTTCGCTAGTAAGGACCTTTCACCAAAGATGGCAACAACTTCTTTGACGGAGGTGAAAGGACGCGAGGTGTCGACAGTGGATGAGTGATTCATTGATTGTGATTCACAAATTTTCATCATATATTGATTGTGATTCATTTTCACTGATCAACTAGAACCTTGTTAGATCAGTAGTGAGCACTTTATTGTGGTTGTGCACTATTAGTATATATATTACACTTCTCATTCTTCCTCTTCTATTCAACTAATAAAGGATTTGGAATTTTCTCTGGTACAGGATTTTGAATTTTCTCTGGTAAAGGATTTGAATTTTCTCTAGTTTCAT